TCTCCTGTGGACCAGGATGACCCGGACGCTGCTCAGTTGTTTTTTTGCCGTGTTTCCTGAACTGCACGATGATTCTCTTGATTGTAGAAAGCGGGATTCCCAAATTCTTCAAAATTTGCCGCTGAATTATTCCACCATCTGCTTGACCAACTATCATTCCTCTAACAAAATCCGACAATTCGAGAGAACCTTGAGTTTTTGGCATGTTGTAGCACAAGATAATTAGTGTGCAGACCATTTTCATTTATATAGTGCTCTGTGAACACAAATTAGTTAGCATCAATAAGTTAAATGACGAAAAATTAGGTGTCTATTTACTTGTGACCACTCAGTGTATACCAACTGTTACGTCTATGTTCGTTTGTTAATTTTCCGTAGAAGTTATTTCCGAGAAATTTCAGCGATGCAAGTCCTTTCTTAAATAAAACTAGTTTATTCCCTCTCAATACAACTTTGCAATACACTTAAACATATGCTAGAATTCGCAACGATTCACGCACTTCAATACCGCGCTTGACTCAATTGTCCGTCTCTGTCTCTGCCTGTCTGCAATTCTAATCCCGATTAATTGTCTGGCGCTTAGCAAATACTGGATTATTCGTAATGTTTCCCGATCTTTCTAGAACGCATTAGGTGTTACCAGCGTCACGTGACTTCCGCTGTCGTAACACAACCATTTCCGATGCAAAAAATTAATTCAATCAGATTATAAATATTTTTTTCAGATTAGAGATTTAGAATTTCCAAGATGAAGATATCTTTTGTACTTAACGGTATTTGAAACAACAGAATATGGATCATTAGAGAGACCAGTGTCATTCAGAAAGAGACATACAACATATGGAAGAAATGCAAAGATCTGTGTGTTCCAGACGACAACACACAACATAAGAAAGCTCCCTGTTGGAAGTGAGTTATAGGTTTACAAGTTGCTTCCTCTACATATCCATTCAATCATTCCTTACCTCAATTACAATTACATAATTGTCGATGTACCTCTTCACTTGTATCTAATTTATTACTTCTCACCAAATGAAGTATATATCAACTGCCTACAGTGATGGCTTCACTAAGAGTACCCTAACTGTACAAGGTGGATTAGTTTTCTGATGGTTCCTGGACTGATAAGGACCTCGACCTCACTCCAATGTATTATTATTGCAACATAATATGCACCACCCAGGTTTGTACAAGCTGAGTTGTCTAGTAAACCTTTGAACACTAGATGTCTACTGAGCTCCCCAAGATTGTTAGGCAAAACCTTACCTAAGCCCCATTGTTTTTCTGGCGCCATAGCAGAAGCAGCAGCTGTTTGTAGCTTACCTTGATCTTTCTTTATCTGCTGGATATTTGGATTGAACTGTAAACCTTACCTGCATCACCATAAGACAAAATATGGGTAGTTCAGTTTATAATGACATATCATCTAACAAATTAAGCATGTGCTATAGTCTTCCTATTTGGATTAAATTTCTAGAGAGAAATTGAAACAGCCATTATAGAAGGTCCTGGGAAAACTTGCCCACTTACAGATATTCAGTGCAGTTGAATCAAGAAGTAAGGGTGTGTTTTTGACTGAGGAACTTTTAGAGGTGATTTAGCTTTGTGCCATACAGAAGGTAGTGTAACCATCATATAGCCACATCAGCTAATGCTCTTCTGTTACCTGTTTCAAGTATTATGGTAGCATCATACTTCCAGAGACATCACTGCATTCAGGTAAACACGTGATCTTTGTTCCTGGAAACAGAATGATATGTCTTACAGTAATCATTTTCCACTTCTATATGGTCCTGGGTTTCTCCATAATTGTTCCAGCAGCCCACATCTCATAGTAGTACTCATCTGCCTCAAAGGTTCACTTCACCACTTATCAACACTTTCTCACTCACTCTCTTTGGCTAGATAACTCCAGCTGATTGGCTTTGTATTCCATCAGTTCCTCCAGTCTCCTCTGTGTAAGCAACAATTACAATGATGGATGATGGAATTCTTCTGTCCTCACTGGTACAAGTATGGGCGTTCTATAGGTATCTCTCCTTTTGTTTCAGGACCATCATCCTGCTAGTTCTATGTCTATTCACATTTACTTAATTTATCTGTGATTTCAGGTTAGAAATCGGGGATAGAACTGCTCTAGAGGTTCCAGATAGCAATTCTCCTTTCTAAGTTTGTGACTATATTGGGATTGTAGGTACAGTTCACTAAAATGTTCGAAAAATTGCATACACAAAAGTGCATGTAGTTTAAATTTAAATTTTGTTCAAAGAAGTGGCAACGTTTCTTTCACCCTAATTACCTATTGTTCTGGGTTATTCCCATATGTTGTCACGTGCATTATATTGTGCCAAAGATTGCTTTAACGTAGAATATATTACATAAAAGCAGACAGAGATCTTTATCACTGATGGGTCGGGTGGTACCTTGGAACTACACTCTTCCTTATTTTTCGATTGGAACGACCAACAGTAACACGGGTAGAACGCGCATGGAACAGATTTTCACCGACTTCCAACATAAATTTGGGAGCTCTCATCCTACTGTGAGAATTCTGTCCTCTGATAACATCGTTTTTTATTTTGTCTTGCATTAAAATATTTTGACCTGTTTTACGTTGTATTTTTTATCAAACTCAATGAAAACCCGAAAACTCAAAAGGAAATCAATGAGCTTGAAAATACCACAAAAGTAGAGCTACAGATGTAAGATAAAAGTTTTTAGGAATTTTAGGATATATTCATCTATTTTGTGTGTATGTAGAAGTAGCGTTAAATACATATCTCTGATATCCAGAATTCAGTCGTTACACAAGCTATAATATTTTTGGGATTCATTAGTGACGTTAGTTTGTGTTTAGAATTTATGAAGCATTATAATACCATTCTGTGATCAGAATCGGTAGAAAAAAATTTACACTAATTTGATTCATCTTTGTAAAAACCGCACTGAAACTATTATATTTACAATATTTGTTTTTCCTCCTCGTTAATTTCTTGTTTAAGTTATTGCGTTAACATAAAACAGTATTTACATTTTTTTAAATTAAATCAATCGTATTGAAAGCTCTAATAAAACTTTTTTCCTTTGTAGAACTGAAATGTTATTTGTATCATTATTTTTGTAGGCTGCTCTCTTCACTCGCGTGAAAGATAATCCCAGTCGGTATATATGTGGTGCAACGTTAATTACTTCTCGTCATCTCCTTACTGCTGCTGTATGTGTGGATAGGGGGTAAGTAACGTTTAATAGCTTTATTTTGCAAATTATCAGTGATATAATCACTGAAAGCATTATTGACACTCGGAATGATATTAAGAACGGATATAAGTTTTTTTTATATACATTTCAATGAAACTTTAAACTTCTATTGAAAAAAAAGATGTAAATTTTGAGATCAGTTACTTAAAATATTTCTACTGTATAGTGAAAATATTATAGTATTACTAAATAAAAACAGTTAGATAATTAATTTCACATACATTTTAAAAAGTAACGTTAAAATATATATTTGTTACTTTTTACGAAAATACAGGGTGTTCAAATGTACCCGTAAAAATAGATTGTTCGGATTTTTTTTTGAAGAATATAGGAGTTAAATTATTGTGAAGTATGAAATGTATATAACTAATAGTAACATTTATTGATTTGATAAATCAACAACAACAAAAATGTATAAAACTGTATCCTGAAAAAAGAAAAAAGAGTAACTTTAAAACATGAAATTTTGCAGATCCTGCCACGATATCTTCTGCTATAAATGATTAGACAATCAGAACGAACTCTGCCATTGTATCAGAACTTTCCATACCTGACGCATATTGAAATCTACCCAATCGTTTTCAATAAAAGGAACTTAGAAGTAACGCATTTAACGCGGAGAAGTATGCAATGAGTGTATCACAAATATATACATTCATACTACAAGAGATCTGAAGATATAAGACCTGTTATTGTTTAGTTATTTAATGTAATCTGTATAGCAATTGTGTTCAAATCACTTCAGCATCAAACTTAAAGCATTTGCACTTGAATTTATGTGAATGTGTAATTAGATTACAAAATCTGTGATTGTGAATAGTCATGCAATAACCCATTCGCACGAAAAATAACGCTTGTATAAAATACAATTTTTAACGCTTTCCATACCTAGTCGTATCCGAACCTTTGCAAGTAGCAATCAGTAACTGCGAAAGGGGTTGCAGTCTCAATAAATTCGTCATAAATGCTTAAATCAAGAGCACTTTCCTAATCAGTCTGAATATCTTGCAATATAGACCTGCTGTTTAAATAGCATTACAATGTTGTCAGATATACAAGACTGTTTAGTATAAAAGTTATTATTTAGTTTATTTTGTGACGTAGTATTTAATTATTGTTTAGTTTTTAAAACAGGAATGTTGAAGATGGATTGTTTTAAAAGCGATAGGTATGACAAGTGTCGTTACGTTGGTCTGAACGAGTCGTGCGTTGTGTATGCAGTTTATATTGTTGTATAGGCTTTAGTAATATTGTGACGTCACATCACTCGAACCTTCTGTATTTCTCTTGTTGCCTTATGTGAGTATTCCTACGTCATAGCATCTCGCAGTTTATAGAAAGTTCTAGGCTTCCGAAAACGATCAATTAGTGAAAGTGAAGTTAGACTGCGTGATTGTTAGTTTAGCCATAACGGACGATATTTTAAAGTTTAACAGAGATAAGGAGAATATATTTTCCTGTCAAAAGATGTTCTAAAGTAATTGAACCCGTCTGTGTGGACTTTGACGAAAAGGAAACAATTATTTAAAGATCTGGATAGAACTCTGGTAATTCACGGGGTAACGTCAGTGAATTTATCGCAGATTGTACAGCAAGAAACAGAGTAGAGAAAAAAAAATAATTTGTCTTGTCATTTGGATATTTGTTCTTATCCCACGTTAGAATTAGCTGTTTTGAAATTTAAAATGAAAAAGTATACATAAACTACCGTACCGTCAGTGTTTGTTAGTTAGTCGTGATTATCATTAATTATATTTTCTCTTGCATTTAAAGTGTTATATGCCAAAGTAATTGTAATTCATAAGAGCTTCAAAAGTTTTAATGACAAAACGATGACATCTTGTATATTATGATTTAGAACGCCGACGAATTTTACGGTACTACTTGGACAAGATAATATAAAACTTCATGGTTCGAAAAGGCAGGAACTCGCTGTTGAGTCGTTTAAAATACATGAGCATCACAAACATGGATCATTTGAGAATGATTTAGCCATCCTGAAGCTAGAAAGACCAGTTGAGTATTCTGAGAGTATCAGTCCAGTCTGCCTACCCTACAACCTTTTAAAGAGGAACATTGGAGCTAAGACAGCCTTTGTAACAGGATGGGGTCAAACGACACTAGGTATAATTTATTTTAGCCTCATTGCGTTATAATACGTGTGTAAATAAAAAGAAAAGATTATTTTGCACTGTAAAACAGAAACTTTTATAGGTTACTTAAGCTGTCGTTTCTTTTCTTTCCATTTATCTACAAACACTAGTTTAAACTGATATGTATTTTTTTATTTCTTTACTAATGTATGGAGTTTGTTGCTCTCATCTCAAGTTTTATCATTGGGCCAGGAGTGAGTTTGCGGACTTTTAACGCTAAACTCCGGGGTGTTAGTCCGTGTGATGCGCAGATAGCCTATTGTGTAGCTTTACGCTGATATAACCAAACAAACATTTTGTAACTTGACAATATAATTAAATGTGTTACCAATGTATTTTTTACAACATACTTATCATGCATTAGTGTAACATTATAACGAAGATTAGAAAAGAATACAAGCTAAAGTCAGCCTATACAATTACTCGAACTAAAGGAACACCTTTGTGAATCACAAAGCTACATAATGGGTTATCATTGCTCTGCCCATCTCTGGTATCGAAACCCGAATTTTGATCTCATAAGCCCATAGATTTGTCACTGAATCACATAGGGGTGGAGCCAGAAACGTATGGAATAAAATCAACAAATGAAATAAACT